AAACGGCTCATTAATTGACGCAAATATTCACATAATTTATTCATTCATTTCATAAATTGACCGCAAATTCAATACAAATGACAATAAAGTTATGAAATACTGACAAAACATGTGCTAAACGTTTATTCAATGTTTTCCATAACAACACATGTTTTGGCACTTTATTTGAATAGCGATTTGTGATAAACTTTCGCAAACTTTGTGAACATTTATTATTAAATTAGTTTTAATTAATTTCCACAACATATTTAACACATTAACAAATGTTAAGTAAATTTTACAATATTTAACAATTTTTATTGTATAAAAATATTAATAAAATATTGTTTTTAATGCAAAGTTCTGTTAATTTTCAAATTTCTTGGCAATTGATGTCCGACGAGAAGTTGGTCTTCAATATCATTGTAGATACAGATTGTGAACAACTTTTTGGGATCTCTTTCGGACCACACAATGAAATCATTGATGAATTGTTGGCAAAAGAGTCCGTAACCGTCTGTTCTCTCACTTATTCCTCTTCGGCACCGAAACAATTGAACGGACGATAGATTTGGAAAATCATTGATTACTTGACACAAAACTGTTTGTCTGTCGCTTAAAAAATTTTGAAAAACACCTAATTTTGTGATTGAAGTGATTCTTGCGATCAAACGATACATTTGTTTAAAACAAGTCAAGCAATTGTTATCACATTTGATGGATGTGTTGCATATGATTAGAGTCTTGATCTCAGGGAAACACTTTAAGAGCCACTCAAACGCTATCTCATTGGGTCGACAAGTATTGAGATGAAGTGTTTTCACGTTTAGGAATTGATTCCAGTGTCCGATGTATTCATAATCAACAAATTTCTGGGAAATTATTTCCAAATATTCCAGATTTGTCTGCTTTTTGGCCAAACTTTGCAAACACTGCCATTGATTTGCTTCTTGTCGTAAACAATATGATAATGCTTTCAAAGACATGCCATTTATCATCAGAATTAGCGCTTCAGATGTTAGCCCACATTTAGGGTAAAAATATTGCAAATCTCGTCCATTGGTTGTCAATATTTCCTCCATTAATTCACTTCCGATACTTTCACCCGAAGACAACCAAAGAGTCAAACTTTTAGTGCTTTTTGGCAAACATCTGAA